CTTTTATTATCGAATATAAACAATTTAATGAATATAAAAAAGACATAACCATGAACAATATAAATTTTAAAAACTATGTGTTTTTCGCTTCAGTTATTCGATTTATATATTTCATAACTTCAATAAACTAAAAAAAAATTGTTATAATTGAAAATGATAATTATTACTCAATGAGTGTTTTACATATATTAAAAAAATCTTTTGATATTTCACCTTGATGAAAAGTTAACTATTGAAGCTGTTGACTCCTGCCTAAAACAGTAGCACACAGCTCTATTAAAAGGCAGCAGCTATTTCTCTCCTTTTCCTTGAGTCGCCGTTTTTGTCCCTAAATTTTTTTCCCCTAAAACCAATTTCTTCATTTCCCCTAAAATCAAAACCCCTAAAACCATTTTCCCTAAACTTTTTTCTTGCATTTCCCCTAAATAGCAATGCCTCTAAAATTATTGTCCCTAAATTTGAAAAAATTGTAAATATATATTATTTTACCTGAAACTGGACAAACGGAGCAAAATATAATGTAGTCTTCCTTGGAATACCACAGAGAGGTACGCTTAAAATACAAGTTTCAATATTCTGACTGATTCTGATATATAATTTGTTACCAAAAGATGAATTAAATCATCAAATATTATGAAAAAATGTAATTTTTAATAATTTCCAAAATATATGCTCTATCAATATTTAGTTTCATTTATTTTGTCGTTATTCTATAACCATCAAGTTAAGTCTTATTGTTAGTCCAAATCCTGAGTACACTACCTCGATCTTTTCCCATATTGCTAAAATAGCCTTTTTCCGTTTTTACTTGCTGAATTTGCAAACTTCTTGAGCACAGATTATATTTGCTTCAGTTTTATAAGAGTTAGTGAAATGTAAATTTTTTTAGTATGGACTTTATAACTTCATGTAAGTTTTGAATTGTGTTTTTAACTTTAATAATTTACAATAAATTATCTCTAAATGATGGAGCTGGCAACCAAAAATTTTTGCATACGGAAACAGCCCTGAATCCTACCTTCTGTTATGGTTTAGGGGCAATGAAATTTAGGGGAAATGGAGTTTAGGGGAAATAAAAAAAAGATTTTAGGGATAATAATTTAGGGGAAATAATTTAGGGGAAATACAGAAAAAATTCATTAGGGGAAATAAATTTAGGGACAAAAGGGGGCTCCCTTTTCCTTTCCCCAAAATGCATCTCCATATACGGCGCAAGGCTATAATCGGTTGCAAAACTTGCAACCAGTGGCCATATATAATGCGCCACCGAAATGATCAATTTTCAACTTAAAAGTCAGAGATGAGTGCTTTTCGGCGGGTAATATAGTAATTGCTAATCACGACCGTGTTTTATGCCAATTCGTGGGCCAATCTATGCTGCGTTATTCTCCCAGCAGGAGTTTCAGCCTTGGAGTTGGAAAGCTCCACTGATTGAAAAAAAATAAGTTTCATAAATGCTGCCAATTTGCCTGACATTTAATTCCATCTGGTGCTAAATTAGGCCCATTTATTTTGGGCCCTTTCTCCGCACCGTTAATTAATTATCTTTCAGCAACACTGAATTTGGGCACCTTTGGAATTGCAAATCATTTCTCAAGTACGAGTGAATGTCTATTGAAATCAATATCAGAATTTTAATGATTTTGTTTCTAAATCTCCCCCCCCCCCCCCAAACAGAGCCCACGCCATCAGAAATAAAGGCAAAAATAATTATGTCAAGAATGCGATTTACTAAAACGCAATTAATTTCGCATTAACACTCGCAACGTCGGGTGTCACTTTTCTTGCTCATTATTTTCCCCACTATAGGCGCGCGGCAATGTCACGCCAGGGTCCATCCTCGCTCAAGGATCCGTTCTCCAGGTGGTATTTTCAACTCAAAACAAGCAATAACAAATAACCCACATGCAATTACAAAAACGGCGGGGTGTATAAATATAAAATAAACAGTTAATTAATTTTGCGCTTTACGAGCTGCTGTAAAGTTTATGGGAGGCAAAGTGGCAATTACATCAGCGTGGCTGTGTGTACGTTTTAATTTAAAAATTGTGATGTTTATATAACTTGTTTCGTCGCGGGCAGAGAGTGTTTGAATCGAAGAACAGCTAGGAATTGCGAAACTACGCTGATTGTGGGAATAGAAAATTAAATTGGCAGTTTTAGAAATAGGAAATGTAATCTAAACTGGCACGTTAAATTTATACAACCCTTTTTATCTACAACATCTACAGCGTTTTAATTGAATTTTTTCTATTCACTATAATACTTTGATACATTAAATACGAAATAAATTATGCAATTTTGCTTAAGAGCAATTTTAATAGTAAGAAATAAAAACGGAATGAAGTAGATTTTATTATGATTTATTTTTATTGGAAATTGTTAGTAAATTTTTATGAACATTTCTTTATGACAATTAAATCTAAAATCTTTTGTTTCAGGCTGGAAAATACAAAGCTGTATCTGAAATTTCAACAGGAATATTATTATTATTTTTACTATGTATCATTTTTATACAAAACATTATTTGAAATCCATGCACTTCAATTTAATTTAGCTTCTAAAGTATGCTGTAGGTAGAGAAAGTTTGAAAAAATAATTTTATTGTAGAATAACTATATCAAGATTTATTAATGATTTTAATGAACCAAATGGCAAGTATAAAAATTTAAAAAAAAATGTATTATATTCTTATGAAATGTCTAATAATTAATCATCATTCCACGCCTTAAGGAAAGCATAAAATTGACACTCCTCTTGAATTTCAATTGGCCGGAAAATGTCAGGGACACACACTCTCGATTTTGAACTCTGTCTTGCTTGAAAACGCGGCAGCTGCACTTTCGGGGTCACGTCGCTTCCGTCACATGCTTAAGAGAGCAAGTGTCGTTGTCGCGACCCCGCCCTTGCGGCTCAGGTTTTTCAGTCGCACGAAAAGTGCAGGAATGCTGCTGCTGCCGCCGAGTGCGATTTCTCGGTGCGCTCCGAGCGTAAATTTTCTTATTTTTTTTTCAGCATTATTATTTCTACTCGAAGCCACTCTTTAAACTACACGCCACTTTGACACGCACGCTTCTCTCAATTTTGCCGGCAGTTCGTTCGCCTCGCCGTTCAAAGCCCTTCGGAAACAAAAATAGTCAAGCTGAATGGAACGGAGCGGTTTTCGGCACGAATTAAATTCTTTGCAGCATCTTCGTCTTCCTCGCATCACATAATCGCCGCCGCTTACAAAATGGGTCAATAAAAGGCATTTCTTTCTTTTTCTTTTTGTGTGTTCTCTTTCAGCTGCTGCGGCAATGAATGCTGCCTCTTCACGCTCGGCTGCGGTGTTTTGTGCATGTGCGATGCGAAAAATCTGTGTGTTTATTTGCGATTGAAAGGGTTCATATGCGCGGCAATCAAAGTGGGCGCAACTGAAGTTTGCAAATGACACGGATTCTTTTGATTTTTACTGAACGAGCAGGCTTAGTAGGTTAGATGCGAATTCGGCATACTCGCGTGCAAATAATAAAAGTCAGTTACGTTTGAGTTAATGACTACAAAGAGGTTTGACTCAATAGCAGGCAATAAAGTTCCTCCTCCGCTCCAAGGCAATTCCTAATTTTTGCAGAAGGAATCCAAGGCAATTTTATAAAAAGTCTCAAATTAAAGGTTTGAAGTTATCTTTTTCAAAAAAAATATTGAGGCTTAAAAAATTGCAAGGGAAATCATATTTGTCCGATATTTACATGTAAATATTTTTTTTTTGAAAACAGCATAAAATCGTATTTTATTTAGATGTATGTCGATTATGTCACTCATTCAATCTGTTTTATTTTGCAGAAGAGTTTTCAGATCAAGCGTTTATTCATGGTATTATTTAAATTTGGCCATTCCTCGTTTTAATCAGAATTGGGCGAAATAGTTGCTGTTTGTATGTACGACAGTCTGTATAAAATCACTCTCAAAACAGTCTTCATCGTTTTGAGCGACGAAGGAAAAGTCATTCAGCTCAAATGCACAAGCCTAGATATAGTAGAGATTTTTACAAAATAAATGCATGAATTGAAATTTCCCATTTTGATGGATTACGTTTTCCAACTTTTCCACCGTCCTTCACAATCAGATCTTGATTATTGCATAGCTGATGCGGATATATGTTAAGTTTTTGGATTAGTTTTATTAATATTTTTCAGCTGATCACACATATTAATTAATACAAGACAAAAGATAAAAATTGGATACTAATGCACTTTTCATGTGAACCATATTAAGTGTTTTTTTGACAACTAGAAGTTAAAAATAAATTTTCTTTTTATACAATAAGATTTATATATTACATTTTTTTCCAATTCACTTACAGAAAAAGAATTTAATAATAAATATAAAATAGAAAAAAAAATTTAATTTAATATTTTTTGTTTGTAAACTACATGATAGTAATTTTAATATTTAATAGATAATATGTTAAATTGTCATTTTTTTATTATTAAAATTATATTTTGTCTGCAAATAATTATCATCTGATTTATGCATTGGGTAACACGGATAGAGTGGAATTCATGCCAAAGGTTCACCTACGCGTGCTACCTGCGGGCGTCTCTCTCTCGCGCTATCTTTCTCCTCTCTCTCGTCCGTCGCTTGTAATTACCTATTACAGGCCCCCACAGCTTCCGTCCGACTCGTTTACTCCGAGCAGAAAAATTAAAATTTATTTTCATTTGCCGCGAAACCTGTTTTATATACCGGCGCGATAAAATTCGCAAGCATCCTCCTTCGCTCATTGCGATAATATATATGACGAGCCGTAATTTTGTAAAGTAGAACAACAGCATCATCCTCTAATGGCAAGAAGTAGGTCTCGTGTCAACTCCACCAGAAACCAACAAAACGATCGCATCCTCATCGGATGTTTATTCATGGAGTTTTTAAATTTACTTTCTTACTAAACCAACCCTTAACCACTGCTGAAGGGGTTCTATTGAAAAATTAATTTGAAGGAAAAAAACGTGAAATCGTACCTTTTTGAAGCAGTCTCGGGGCGATTTCTTTTCCACAATATCCTTTGTTTGGGGAAAAGTCAAAATCCTTTGCACTTTGGTCGGAAAATCCACATTGGTGTCGGACGTTCGGCGAAAGCGGCGATCGAGCGCAGCAGGTGTTGCGAGCGACTCGAGCGCACGGCACTATCTGCGGCGGCAAATCGGCGCGCATTCCGACAGCCTGTTCGCGTTCCCTTCCATATTCCTTTTCTTTTTCCACCAGAGCCACCTCTGCGCGGCCCGTGATGAAGACGCCGCACGCTATTTCCGACTACACCTCGCGCATAACAATTGCCGTGCGGATCGTGGAAATTAAACTTGGTGACCGGTGCGTATTGTACTGCCCTTAAGAAGGTGACAGTTATTATTCCTGACCAAATCTAGCAGCAGCAGCAGCAGCAGCAGCAGCAGCCGAGAGAGCGTGGAATTCTTTTGGTGGACGTGACATTATTATATACACTTTCAGCCGAATTATGCGTGGCTCTTGGCCAATAATTCATTGCCATTGTAACCGAAATAACATAAACAAATACATTTCTAAAAGTTCTTCTAAACAAACAGTAGTGGAATGTTTCCAAGATTTTTTTTCAAAAGGTTTTTGTGCAGGAATATATTATATGTGACAATATAATATATTTTTTATAATTATACATATTAATAGTTACTTTAAAAAAGGATTATAGGTAATTTTACATTAAAAAATAATTAAAGGTAATTTTGAGGTTTTGCAGATTTTATTTCCCAAATAAAATTTCGCAGGGTATTTCTATTCTTTATTAAAAACTAGTTTTTCATTTACAGTTTTGGAAAATCCGCGTTGTACCCATTAAAAAATTACACTTTTTTGCACACTTAGGAAATAATTGACTAAATTTATTTTAGCAAATAAGTTTAAACTTTGAAGGAATACAAATTTTGTATTTCGTCATTTCACCATTACATAAAATAATTTAATTTAATCTAGTGAAAATATAGAATTTCGGTCAATTGAAGTGAATTTCGTTTTTTATATTATTATATTATGATCATATTTTTTTCCATAAAGTAATTTGATTCTACAACCCAACAATATTTTATTTCTTTCTCTCGCTTGTATCCTTTGTGAATTATAAGATATTTTTATTGTGACTCGTGCGTGCTTAATCCTCCTTTTTCGATTTGAGAGGCATATTCAAATTTTTCAGATTTGAATAATAATGAGAAATTTTATACACATGCAGCGATATCGTGCTCTTTGCTTTTGAGGGATCTCGGCGTCCTTTTAAGGAAACGGAATGCTCTTAAGTGTCTTTTTCTCTCCGCATCGTGCATTGTTCTTTCATGCGCGCAGAGTGAGAATGAATTATGCATTTGCCACTCTTGTCGTAATTCTCGCTTCATTTGCAGATAAAGCCAAAAAGATTGCATGCGTCTCTTTCATATTCTGCAAAATTAGTGTTTTCAGGTTAAATGAAGCTTCCGTTGTATCGAAACCTTTTAAGTTTTTGCGTCATATTTTGAAAATGAGAACACAAATCATTTTTTCGCTGCATTATTTTTCTGTTGATTTGTTTACGTCAAACAGTGCATAAAATATAAAACGAAGCGCCGCGGATTTCTAATTTCACACTTCCGTGATCTTTATGTGACATTTAAGTTTTCACGCCTCTTGCTCTCCGCAGACGACATAATAGCCATAATATTATTAAATAGAAGAAATGATGCAGTCTCACATTTAGAAAAACGCGATTTTAATAAAATTCCTGCACACAAAAACAAATGTATTTTTAGGAAAAATAACTAGACAATCAAATGTAATGATGCGAATCTAATCACATCCGGAATGCAATTTATTCCATTTGAAATATTAAATATTTTTTTTTCACTGTCCGTTGTGATAATTTTTGGGCAACGCAGGTTTGTTTCCATTTTTGACTGAACCACGCTCTTCACTCCAACTCATTAACTATTCTAATGTATGCATAGGACGCTTTTCTACAAAACACTACAACCCAAAACTATTTCTGTATATATCTCGGGCCTAGAAAAAAATTTACCGTAAGCCGTCTCGCGCTCAATTTCAGCCCACGAGGAGTTATTGAACGAAGCTCGAGTGCAAGGAAAATCCACGAGATGGGAGAACCGCCGAGAGATTTCAACTTGCGCAGTTTGCAGACGTGGAGACGGATCTCACAGATGGCGTATTTTGTGAAATTTCATTCTGAAAAATAATTTGAATAATATCGTTGATTAGAATAAAAAGTTGATTGTGTCTCAAAGGAGCCCATCGTTCTATGTAATAATTTATTTACCCTCTTAGCAATGTTGTTATAATCATTATATGATGTAACAACTTGGACAAATAAACAACAATTAAAAATATTTTTTTTTATATCGATGTTAAATCAGTTTTAAAGTTTTGCTAGAAAAAAAATTTAAATTATAGTAAAAGTAAATATTTTATGAATTAAATTAAAAACAAATATTAAAATTACTTTATATATATTTTTTTTTTTACAAATAATTATGTAATTTTTTTTTTAAATCTTATAATGTACAAATAGATTTTTATTATTATTTAAATCATTTTATAAAAATTTTAAATGTTAAAAAAATAAAATCAATAATATTTTTAACAACTCATAAAACCAATTAAGATTCATAATTTTTTCTGACAGTTGTAGTAATTAATAAACTTTGAATATAATTTTTAGCACTACATATTTTCACTTTGATCAATTTAAAAGAAAATATCTTCCACAATAAAATTTTAAAAAAGTTTTCAGGTCACTAAATAAACACATGGTTCAGTACATACCTCAAAATTATGAAAGGCTCAATACTCAGTTTAAATAGTTGCCCATTTAGGAATTTAAGGATCAGCTGTCTTTCAGTGAAAATATATTTTCACATTAGACAGAGCAATATTGAACCAGATAATTTTTCTTGCACATAATGTAAAAATCGGAAAATAATTCATATTATGTTATTTGTTTTTGAGGAGACATTGTTTTAGTAGAGTTGGTTTTGTTCTTCGAATCCAAAACAAACATCAGAGTTTTTCTCAGCGTTACAGTAAATTCAAATCAAATCAATTCTCATAGTGAAATTTCTTTTATTGAGCTCAACATGTCAAAAACACCCGCAGTATATTAATCTAGCCAAACAGGAAAGAGTTGATTAACAATCGGGAAACACGTGTTTGGCAGCATAAATTGGAAGCAGAGTTTTGTACAAAATTGCCCAGCGGCCGTAAATCACGCGATCGGCGCAATATCCGCGCTAAACTGGGCGCAATTTGCGTCCTCGTAATTCAGAGAGCAACGAGTCCAGCACTCGGAGGGAGACCGAGGTAATAATCACGTTGAGCAGGTCCTCTCGTTTTGCCCACTGGTTTATCGCGTCATTATTTAAATTATGAAAGCTTTCAGCGGCTCCATTGTGTGCGAGAGCGCAGTGCGTCCGAAAACCAACATCAAGCAGTAGCCCGGGTGTTATTTTGCGTGGAGGCGGAAAGAGAGGGAATTGAATTAAAGCCTCTCTGCAGCGTGTGATGCTGCGTCGTCGCTTGATGATGATGTGCTAAATGAAGGGTGCACCACACGCACTTACTCTGATGCGGCTTAATAGACTCTGCTTAATTATTTACAAAGCGGCCGCATTAACTGCCACGGCGCGGCACAACAGCCTTTAACACGCACAGAAAAGCAAGCGGCATCGACCGACGACCGCCGCAGCAGTCACAGGAGCAAAAGCGACCATATTTTCAAGTTTAAAAATTACCTGGCATTTTAAGGCAATTGACTTTGAAGCTGTATAGTTGTTTGGTATAGCAATAACATAATCATTTTTAATGTAAAAAGATATTTAAGTTATATTTGGCAATACTGTTATATATTTAATTTAAAAATATTTTTGTATACCAAATGAAAACTTTTTGATTTGTCATGAGAACAAAAAATAAGTCAACCGAGGCTTACTGTGGCAGATGGAGTCGCCTTCATAACGGAAGTTTAGTTTAAGCATGATTCCTTGTTAACGGTGGTGTCGTTTTGTACAATTTTTTTTTAACAATTGAATGTAAGAAATGTACTTGTAATAATGTGGACAAATAAATAACAATAATAAAAAAAATTAATTTTGAAATTAATCATTATTTCACGTAAATATAGTGTCATTTACATAATGATAAAATTTTATTAATTATATAATTTAAATACACTTACCGGCTTTGATGTAGTTCAAATTATAGGCTTCTCAATTTCTGAATAAATTCTGCTTTACTTCAATAATTTTTGCATCTTTATTATTGTGTCTGCGAGAGTCAAACTATCATTCTGCTCTGTCTGTCTGAAACATAAAAAAGCTAAAAATAATCATCAAATAAAAAGGGGACTTTTAATGTAAACATTGACCGGCAAACGTAAAATTGTTTGAAAAAATTAGAATTCTTTTAAATTTATTGACAACTTTCGTTGGCATTTTCTGAGCCTTAAAAGTTCCTTTTTCATTTTATTTCCACTTTCTTCCTTCCAGTTACTTCTTTCTTAAGGGTTTTAAATTGCAATGCTATCGTACTTATTGTTAGAAGAAATAGCAGGAAGCAAATTTGACATTTATATCAATAAATTTATCCTAAAAGTATAATGGAATTTGCGAGTATTTTTTTTTAAATAACTATTCTTTTTATTGATAAATAATTACAAATCTTTATCAAAAGCTCATTCCAATTTAGAATTGAATTTTATTATCTAAAAGACAAAAAGCTTATGTCTTGTTGAAGGATTTCTAAAAGTATAATGAAGGAAGATTTCCATCATTTCTAAACTTTCTGCTGCACATAATTGAATAGAATAAGCAGCAATTAGCGTCATCAAGACTGCAGAAATTGTGAAATTTTAAGTGAATCAAGACGCGACAGCCAACATATTTCTCTGCACAAATTGCGCAAATCACCACGGTTAACATTGTTAGTCCCCGCTCGCGAGAGCACACACAGACAGACAGACACACGACATAAGATGCGAAGAGAGTCTCGAATTGCCGCAAAGAGTGGAAATAACACGATGCAAATTCAGTTTAAACGACGAGCATCTTCTTGGCGAGAGGGAGATAGCAGCAGACCGAGTTTTGAGTTGTAATGTTTGCCATGCGGAGCGAGAGGGGTGCCTTCGTCATCTGATGCTATTATGCAGATTTTATTGCAGCAACCGCGGTAGGAAGCATAAATTTGCTTAAACGCCGTAATTACATTTACACAACAAGATCTTAAATGTTTCTTGAGTTTTTCAAGATGTTTATCGGCCCAGGCGGGCAACAAAAGAGCCCGAGTGCAATAAAAAAAGCGCGCGCGGCAGGGTTTCATTTTTGCCAGTAATAAAAAGGAGATGACATATAGTTTATATATAGAATTTTTTTTTCGGGGGAGTGAGTTGAGGGAGGCTCGCTACACACGCGAGAGAGATGACTTGGAACGCATGAATTTTGAACCCAGTCTCTCGTAAACGCGACATTAATGGTGATTTAAAATCAAACCGACCGCACACAAGGGGACTGCTGCTCTTTTCTAGCTCTTCACCACACACAATGTGCGACTCTGACTTTTGTTTCCAACCGGAAATGCACTCGAGTGTGATGGAAAAGAAAGCGAAATTCGTGGAAATAACGCTCCCCATAAATGTATGCGAATCTAATGCGTTTTTCGATGGCGATATGGGAACATTAAATTTGATTCAATCCCGGCTAAAGTGAGAATGGAGACTTTTGCGCATCCATTGTTGCGGGTAGGCAATCTGCCAAGCATCGGAATACAGCAGGTTGCATAACCCAATATAATACGTTCGTTTATTATGACCCAAAATGTATATTTTTACCCTCTCAGCCTTCTCACATAATATGTAGCGAAACAACAATAGCAAAAAAAAATTTGACATAATTTACATAATTTATATTGGATTTGTGAAGTAGATGGACTTTTGATAAAAATATTACTGTGACTCTTTTTAAACTTTTTTATTGATACTTCCAAAAATTGCCTTAAATGTTGTCTTTAATAAAAATTTTTTTTATCAATTTTAAAGATTGTATAGCTTCATTTTATTTTTTTCAAATCAATTATTTTCTTTGTTTACAATTGAATATGTACATAATTGAATCATGTTTTTTTAATAATTTTCTTTTGAATGAAAAGAAAAATATTTTAACTTAACTGTAAAAAATGCAAAAAATAAAAAAATACAAAAAATATGTATATATATATAATATATATATATATATATATACACATTTTGACGGTTTTCTTATTACCTAAATTGACATTTTTGAGTGGATTTTTATTAAATCGATTGAATAGGGTATACATTGGTAAACATGAAATTAAAAAATTAAATATTTAAAAATTTTCAGGAGAGGAATAATTTTTTAACTTTTTTTTGTTATCAAATTCATTGGTTTTCAAGAAGGTTTTTATTGAGGCAGATAAGAGGCAGCTCTAAATTTGAAAAGTATGCATAGTAATTTACCAAAATTTGATATTCTGCTGAAAATGTTAAATCTGTTCAGTCGGTTCATGTTATAGTACCTTTCGCTTTTAAAATGTACTCAAGGTAATTTAATTGAGGACAACAAATAATGTCCATAGGTGTGCCTTTTATTAATCGCTGCTATTACCTTAATGGAAAATATGAATATGACGTAAATAAAAACGCTTTGAGTTTTTCAAACACGCGCACGTTGCAAAACTCACAACAAACCGTGAACTCGACTCATTAGCCGCGAAGAACAAGCACTAATGCGCTCTTGGAAGAGAGGAATAATAACAAATAGGACGGCCGCGTACAAATGAGCTGGAGGTAATAATTCACGTAAGACGAGCGGCAATAAATAACCGTCCGGGTGCATGTAAATAGAAATAAATCCAACGGCTGAGAGAGAAAGCGAGCGAGTGTGGATGCTGTGACACGCGTGATCCTCTCATCTTGCCCGACAACCCCATCCCAGGCAATAAATATCCAAGGGTTATAAATTCTAAGTGCATATCAAGCGTGCCGAGAAAACAGGGCCTATGCAACGCCCGTCTCTCTCTGCGATGAATTAATTTTCATTCAAAACTTGTGCAATGTGTTGTATTTATATTACTTACTTTCTGTGTTTTCTTTAAAGGATTTTTATTCACACATATTTACATTGAAATGAAATTATAAAAAAAAAAAAAAATAACAGAATCATTGCTAATGTAATTTACTAACTAAATTTAAACGTGCTTTGGCGCTGCAAACTATACAGGTTTATTATGGAACCAGGTATTCTTTCCACGTTTTGTCCAACAACAACAATTTATGATGCTTCTTTGACCATGCGATCAAGATCCATTGTCAATTCAATGTTCAATTTTATCGGAATGAAATTTCTTTTGACAAATACAAAATTACAATGTCAGTTTTTACGGGTTTGCCGTTGTAGGTTTAAAAAGCTCGAAAGATTTTCTGCAGGACAATGTTGCAGCTAATACACTCATTTAACTTAAATTTAAATAACTTCATGTCATCTATGAATTATTTCATAAATAGCCCTAATCAGTATTTTTATTTCTTTAACCTTTTCTCATCAGCAAAGCATTATTTTGTGCATGTTTCAAGGAAATAATAAGCACACACGTTGCTGTCTAAAATAATAAGGGACAGGAAGCGACTGGAAGCTTGAATATGATAAGCGTGATAAGCAATCTCTTTTTCAGGTGCAGTGCGAAGGTAGGTGTTGGCCATGAGGAGGCGGCTTTTCGTTTCGTGGTACCTGGCACTGCTTGTCGTGTCATTAATTGTTTTTTTCGTTAGAAGACGGAGAAATGCTTGGACTGAACTTTACGATATTACCGATATGACTCTCAAAGAAGACGGTCCCGCTTTCGACGCAAAATTTGGTACCAAGGTCGCTTTTTTCATGGAGACCTCAGGAGAAGGGTACCTCAGGCCCAGAGAGGTTTGCGCCATCGAGTCATTGGCCAAGACCAATCCTGATATGCAAGCTGTGCTCGTTTTTACATACCCAGTGCAGAATCTCAACCTGAGAAAAAATCCAACACTAGCAGCAGTGAGTCGCAAGATGAAAAATCTCCACATTGTCACAATGAACAGCACAAAGGTAGTTAGAATAAATATTATTATTAAATAAAAATATCAAATACATTCATGATTATAACGTTATATAAATTACAATGGTAATTTTTATTTTTGAAATCTTTGGCAGAGCCTAAAAGTGCTCAATATGCATGAAACACAATTTAAATTAATAGATTTTAGATAAAATTTTATAATAAATTTATTGCTATTTCAGGTTTTGTTAAACTCGCCAATCTTTAGACAAAAATTGAACATTTTGCAACAATCGAAGTTTCCCACCGTTTTCCTCAGTGATTTTCTGCGAGTTCTTCTTGTTTACACCTTCGGTGGTATTTATTTTGACACCGACTTCATCATTTTCAAAGACCTTTCACCCTTGCTGGAGAAGAACAACTTCGTTACAAAACCAAAAGGACAACCGCTGGTCAACAGTTGCGTCTTTTCATTTGAGAGGAAACACCCTTTTGCAGAAAAACTTATGAAAACAGTGGGTGAAAGGTTCAACCCGAAGAATTACGCCTCGGCCCCGGCAGCGTTCAAAGTTGCGGTCGAGGATTTTTTCAAAATGGATTTAGAACAGGCCATTGAGAAAAGTCCCTTTGAAGGAGTAACTGTTATGGACTACATTGAATTTTCACCCATATTCTACTACGACTTCAGACAAATTTTCAATGAGTCATTTGTTAGTTTAGCTGATGAAATAGTCCGATCCTCGTATGCTTCGCATATGTGGAATTACATGGGCTGGAGTTTAAAGCTGGACCTCAATTCTAAAGCACCATACGCAATTTTGGCCAGACGGTTTTGTCCAATAACTGTTCATAATATTGAAGGTGGATTTTAAGTTCCAAAATTTTGAGTAACAATTCAACGTCTGCTCCTGTTTGACCCCCTGCATATATGAATCAATGCTTTTGTGTAAATAAAATATGCAGTTTATTTATATAATCGAAACCAAATAAAGCATCCACGAATTCAAAAGCACAAAATTTGACCTTAAAAAAGAGCGAGATAAAAGAAACAAAAACAATAACAGAACTGAACAAAGCGAGACAAAAACAACAACAAAAAGGTGATTAAAAAATTTCCATTATTGTGTCTTTCTATCTAATCGCACAAACTTGTTTCTATTTGCTATATGAACACTTGAATTGACTATAGCAATAATAGCCATTACGATTTCCTAAAAATGGCATGCACTGTCAATAGACCAGGAAAATATATAATTAAATTTTTTATTGCTCAAAGAATTAATTTAATTTTGTTCAAATGTGCTTTTCATCTGTGCACACTATAAATGATTAATCTCCATTTTAAAAAATTATGTAAGTATTTTTTTTAATTGAATAAAATTTGAATAGTTAAAATAATAAATCTCTTTTCTCGTTACATTACAAAAATTCCTGAAATCGCATGCATGTATAATTTGACTCTCTTTTCGAAAGCTTGCGTACGTGTGTGTATGTTGGGCCCCCATTCGTCGCGCGCGTGTCTTTTTCCGAGGGCTGATATGTGGCTGCCAAACAATTTCCACCGTCATTAAATTATTGCTGTTGAATGCAGTGGGTGTGAAGATATAAAATCTGCTCGATCCACTCGCTCTCGTCGCGCGCGCACTCGGCGCGGTAATGGCCGTGCCGAAGAAAAGAGGAAGAAGAGTGCTCGCTCGTCTGCTCGCCGCTTGATGACTTTTCGCCGCCGCTTGATGCGATCCATCAGCGAAGAGAGCGAGCGGGTGGGCACATTGTGTTCGACTCGACTTCTTGCTTCTTCAATAGTCATATCTCGTCAACGGACAATTGAACATCTCAAGTGATTAACGAGCGCGCAGCCTCTGAAAGGATTAATGCATCCACCACTCACGCCGCAACAACCCTCTCGAGCCGCCGACTTTTCGACTTGCTGTTGCTCCGCACCACCATTTTTTCATCGCGAATACCCTGCTAAACGGCGACATTGGGTTATCAAAAAGAGAAAAAAATTCAAATTGCTTTTTTCTTTAAGAAGACGACGTTCTTTGTAATTGATATTTCTTAGTTTTCATTGTTAATCTGACTTTCTATCAGAGTAGATTAATAGTTGTGTATAAATAATATATAGATTCACAATCAGATTCAACAAGTCCCTTTAAATGCAAATTTTGAGGCATGAAATTCATGATCAAATTTTTTTATCTTCAAGTGTGTTTCTTCTTATCATGTTTGATGGAACAAAAAATCTGCAAGAAATATTTTAGTTATTAACATTTCTTTTTAAGTTGGTAAATTATTTTTATTAGTCTTGCATATTGGGCCTAAAAATTACTTAATTTGCAAAGATCTTACTAGTAAAGCATTTACTAGCTAGTACTAGTACTGTTGAGAGATTAAAAAACGGCTCTCTCAACAATATATTAATGAAAAATTTAATTTTACAGCAGGGGTGTGGTTATGATTTGATACTGACGATACTGTATATATAATAATTATAATATATTATAATTAAAACAAAAATAAGCCGAAAAATTGTATCCTTTTTAATTTCTTTCTTTAATATATTGCAAAAGAATGAATGAAAATTAACTTGATTTTAAAATATTTATGTATCATTATTCTTTTATTATTCACTTAATTATTCTGTACCATCAACTGAAATCACGAATTATCAAATTTCCCAGGCAATCGATTGAAAATCAATCTTCAGAGGTGTCGCACGCACACATTGCGAGTTGAGACGATCATTAATAAAGCAAAACGCAGCAACAGATCATGTTATTCAATGCGTTGGACGGCAAACGTGCACACAAAGAGACGCGAAATTCTCTTGGCCGGCAGCAATTTGCCGCACTCGAACGGCCCGTAATGGCTTATTTGTCGGGCGCGCAATATCAAGAAAGAGTGCGCAATTCAAGACCAGTGAGATGGAAAATTAAAGTAGTGGTGGTGCGCTGAAGCTTGGGGATGAAAAATGAAAGCTGATACACCCCAGAAGAGTCGACGCAGTGTCCAAACACAGAGCGAGAGGTGCCGTCGCCGCCACCGAGCGCACGCAGCTGTCCAGCGTGAGAGATTAATTATCACCGCATCATTAATTATCTCGCCGGTCAGCCGAAAATTTCTTCACCTGCCTGTTTTGCGTTTTCGGCACTCGCTAAAGCAGCTCTGAGCAATTTTCGTTGATAAAATAAAATAATTAAAATAAATTATTTTAGTACAACATTTTAATATGCATCGTTTAAATTAAGATTATTGATTAATTTTTATTCCGATTTATCATCGAAGTCCATCAACCTTTTGTAAAAACAATATTAATATTACGGATTATTTATATTTGTTAAATTAATATTTTTATAATTGAAAAAATTAATTCTTCTTCATGTGATACGGATAATACAAAAATTTAGAGATTTTTATTTTTATTGTAATATGGCCCTAATAATTGAATGACTATAAATCATAATAAATCATCAATAGTATTTTGGAATTAATGTTCAAAAGCCATAAATGTATTTTATTCAGCCTATTATAAATAAAATATTCAAAATATAAACCAACAAATGCCAAAATTTGCTGACTGTAAATCATTAAAATGTTTTTAATTGACCATTGAGCTGGAAATACATTACATATTTAATGGAAATTTATTCAACATTAATTTTGTTTCAATAAAAATTGCATGTTAAATATTCAATAATAGCAATAATAATTATTATAAAAATCAAAATTTGAACATGACATAATTTCTTTCCCACGTCACCAGTAATCCATGGGCACGAGCACTTTAATTAACCCCCAGCAGCTACTACCATTAGCGCACCGAGCCGTGTGAAGTGGTATGGTAATCAAACGGCGGCTCCTACTATGCTCTCTCGTGCATTGTGTCCGTCCAAGATTAAAAGCATCAGCCGGTAAATGGCTTGCTTGTATTGTGATGCGGACAAGCGAGCGAGATATCTGAGAGCTGCGCTTTTGACCTGCGAACCGCAGCGGCCATCAATCACAAAACACGCTGGCTCTGCTGCCTGCGATCAGTTTGCATTGACGTCTCCTATAACTCGCATGCATCGACCATAATATCAAGGCGACCCTTGAGACTCTGTCTGATAGCTCGTATTTACGGTATTTACCACTACAAACGTTTATTCAAATCTTAAATTCATCACAGTTTCACTATCTTTTCTTTGAAAAATATCTTTATTTAAAACAATGTATTTGTTTAGGATGCAATTCTTTAAAATGACTATAACTTCCAATTATTCACTCTGTAAAAGTCATTATTTTAGAAAGAGATTATTCATCACGAAATATTTTAACAAGACCAAAATGTAAAAAAATATTCTTCTCTTTTATTAAATTAAAAATAAATCAGTGGATATTTTCAAATTATTTTATATACTAGGGCCGAAAATATCTAGGATTTTTGTTTTTAATTATTCAGAAAAAACTTTTTTTTACTTTTATGGGCGTGTTTTTTTTATAATTAACTTAAATATTTTGAAGAATGTTACACTTTGGCTATAATTTAAGATAATTAGTCCTTTTTAAGAGTCAAATAAATTTATTTAAAATTTGGTTAACTCTAGCATCTTTTACTTTCAGAATTCAGCTGCATTAATTAATTTCAGAAAAAAAATTATTCTTTAATTTTAATTTAATTCTGACAGTGATTGAATTGGGAAATATATTGCTAGCTGAAAATGATATTTTAAGAATTGAGAGATTGATTTGGTGTTAAACGATTTTACACAGATTATAAAACATTTTTTTAATTCATGGAAATGAGACGTTTAATATAATTTACATCTCATGTAAGAGGCGCACAGCATTAATTTTATTACAATTCTTTGTGCCTGAAATAAAATACTTTTTTTCTGTTGTTTTATGTGTTGCATGGGGAAACGCTCGACTTGCTATAGAGACTCTCTCTTGTCTGTGTTTCTCCATTAATTCCCCAAAGATAAAATTCGCCAATAGATCAAATGTGACAAGTAAAAAAAGTAGTTTGCACCCCCTTGCCTTTTTATGATCGCCGCCCCAGCCACGCACATAGCGGTGGAATTAATTCACCACGACTAGCTGATATTTTTCGTGGGCACTTGCCATAAGTGATGACCCGAGAGCTGCTGCTTTTGCTGTTTTAACATAATGAAATGGAAGAGCCACGCACCAAAACGGCAGACGCAGAAAAAAAACTCGTCCCGAGAAGGAAGAGGAAAAATGGTGTGGGGGAGCGAGGAGGAAAACGGTGTAATTTATGCGGTCGTGCTTTTCCGCAAAATTGATTTGTTTTCACTTCTCTGATGTAATTTTGTAGTCGGTTGGATGATGTGAAAAGTCCGGTGTAAAATTAAATGAGAAAAATTAGTTGTAAGGTGTTCGACCAAACCGATTGCTTCTGGAATGTGTGAGCAAAAAACTATCGCATCCATTAAAGATGAGCGCAGGAATACTTTAAGAAACAATACTCAAATGTCTTTTCAATGATTGACAGGCTCAATTTAGTTAGAAGCAAAAAACCCTAAAACGTCTTACGCATGGTTCTCATAATCAAAATGTCAAATGCATCTTTTTTTTTCTAACTAGTTACGAAATCTTTAAATTTTGAAGTGCAGCTTTTTCGAAAGACTTTTGAATAAAATCCCCACATAAACGGGTTTTCAATTAATTACTTCACTAAAAAATAGACCTTTAACAATATAAATGTAAATTTTGGAGGTTCCTAAACCCCCATCAAATTATGGTTTGAACACTTTTTTTATTTTTAGTTATCTCTAGAAAACAAAAATATTTTTATTTTTTTAGTCATGGTGATTTTTAAGGGGGTTATTAATTTCAAATATTAATTTTGTAGGTCAGATTTCTTGTGGGTAAATTAATATTTGCTTCCAAATTCTTGGTTCTTGATCTTCGTATTTAGGCAGGGGGCTATTGAAAACAATGAAAACACTTAAGAACCTTAATTTTTGGGTTAAAAACCTGAAAAATCTGCATAGTGTAAGTAAATAAACATTTATCAAAATTATTAATTATTTTTGAAATTCACTTTGCATTCAAAGAAACGAAAGTATAATTTTTGAATTTGTGAAATGCGAAAATTTGAGTCTAAAAAAAGATCTGGCTCCTATTTTCTGGTGCGTAATTATATTTTTCCGCCTTTTCACAAGCGCCCTGTAGACGTCTGGTTGCGAAACAAGCTCTCGGTTGCTGTCAACTTGGGAACTTGTTCTCTTCCTTCTTTTGCGTCACACTACTTTCTTCCTCGCACTTTGGCGCCAGTAATAGCAATCACATACCGTTCCGTTGGTGTCCCGAGAGAGTAAACAGTC